GTCAAGGAGGGAAGAGAAAATTTGATATTTAGTCAATAAATCAAAAAGGATTGGTTTTGTGTGTATGTGTGCCTGGTGTGGTGAGTGGATTGTATGTGTTTGGTGGTGTGTGTGTGTGTGTGTGTGTGTGTGTGTGTGTGTGTGTGTGTGTGTGTGTGTGGGTGGGTGTGTGTGGGTGGTGTGTGTCTACCTACCGGTGCAAGTCCAGGGCACTCATATACTGTGAAATCTCCACCCACTTCTTCCTCATCTGATGTGACCTCGGTGTCAACGGTTTTCTGTTCTGGTTTGCTGCTGCAAGATAGGGGGAAAAAACAGTTAAGATAAAGAACAGCGGAAAAATATCAGAGGATGTGGTTGAACATTTGAAATCCGCATTAATACACGAGAGACATGAAAAAGAGGAAAGGCAGGAGGTGTCAGCGAGTGAAGAAAAAAAAACAAAGAAACGTACTTTCCCATTGAGAGCATCTGCTGTTTTTGATGTTGGTAGTGATACATCTGAGCATTTTGTGCCAGATTCTTATCTCCCATCTGAGGAGACAACAGGAGGAGGACGTTTGAAAACAGAAGGTATAGTGCACAATCATGTCCGAAATTCATGATAAAGGAAGCGAGCTGTAACAATAGGTGAAGTAAGAGTCACTTACCGAGGAGCCGTTGGCTGGGGGGGCCGGCAAGCTCGTCCCTCCTCTGAAAGCCGGGTAGTCGACCTTCTGAGCCAGGCGCGATTCTTTCTGCAACCTGTGGGGGGGCAACATGAATCTGAGTCTCCTGTAATAATGATGGCTGTTTCCTGCCTCTGGCATGAAAACAACATCCTGTCACCTAAGCTCACAGATCTTATCATACATGAAGACCAAATTAAAGTGTGGTTTGACATTGACTGACAAACACACAAGTACGTCCAAATTATAACTTGTCTACTAAATTGATTACCAAAAAATAAAGTTTGGTTTTGTGTTTTAAAACAAAAAGCATACACTAACGTCATGCTTTTTTAATAACTAACATGGGCCTAGTCTCAATTTTGATACCTCTGTTCGTACAATTGTTATGTAGTACACGGTATACACCAGTGGTTCTCAACTGGGAACTAGAAGGAGACTTTAGGGAGTTCAAGGGAGCCCCTAGACGAGGAATAGTACATTTTTACTGTTACTTCACTATAGAAGTGAGGCATAGTGAGTCATAGGAGTGACTTCGGATCCTAGGTTTCACTTCCTTCACGATTATCTCCTCAACTTTAGTAGACATATACTGGATTTGTAATCTTATCCAAAAACCTAAATCTTTTTATATGGCGGCCCCTGCAGAAAAATCATGTTCGTTTGTAAACTAATGTTGTTAATTCAAGCGTCTTTGACATGAATAAGGTTGAACAACGTCATAGTGCACAATGTACTGACTTTATTTTGACAGGTTTGTGTTTTCTCAAATACAACAAGGATGTCCTGCACTTACCAGAAATAGCTATTACAATATTTGCCCACTTCCTCTTTTTTAATGTCAAACTGCAACCAGACAGAGCAATACTGCTGCTAACATCTGACGGTACATTTCCCCCGCCAAAATATCTGTAGGTCTTTACAGATTACCATCCACCCCTCTTATCGCCATGTTGCCATGTAGGCGACCATTGAAGGTGAACACTTGTATGAGTATACCATCAGGATACTCATGTTGCAATGCGATTGGCCATAAACCGTGTGAATGCACTAACTGTTTGAAATCCAAATACCGAGTGCAAGTGCAGAAGAATATGTATGTTCGTATGTATTTCATTCAGTGTAGAGGTTTTTTTAGACTTACTTGACGTAACAGACGATTGCCAGAATCACTGCCACAGAGCCCACCGCCACACACAGCGAAATCATGACTGCAGGTTGATTAAAAAAATAAGAACATGTTAAGGAGCAAATAATGAGTGTTTGAGTCAGATGAGACATTTTCTTATGGGTGCTATAGATCATCTAATTTTCTCATTATGAGTTGTAATGAATTGAGATGCATCGTAAAAGCAATAAACACTTTAGGATGAAAATGACTAACCCCTCTTTTGGGATAAAAGCCGAAAGGGATTAAATCTTGCTTCCAAATATCCACGCAGCAGAATGACCCACATTTTAAGCTAATGGACTGCATTTCTACCCTTTTTTGTTTATTTTAATATACTGTAGCAGCAATGGATTCTTTACCCACAGGCTTTCACTTTCTCAAAGCATTAAAGCCTTCTGATGACATAAACAAATCATACTCACTGACTATAAACTTGTTATGTTTGGATGCTGGCACAGCGATAGGACCACCTCGACCCTGTACTCCGGTAACACGAGGCTGGTGGGTCGGGGGTTCAGGGAGGGCAGAAACTGTGGGGAGGGGGTCTGTACTGTTTTCATTCTGGCTTTTCAGTTTGGGTTTGGTGACACCTGGTTTGGTTATTTTCTCCTCTTTCTGGGAGGTGACGGCAGCTGGAAAGAGCGGGTACACAGAAAGAGACCGTGTTAAAACCAAAGGCGATGAGAGGAAACATGGGTGGGGTTAACTGTAACAGAGGGCATGTGTGAACTTATTAATTTTTTTTTTTTTAAGATTGCTCTTACCAGGATGTTTGCTTGTGTGGTGTCTTTCTGTCTTGATCTCAGTCACTTCCTGTTTTTCGATGACTGAGTGAAGGAAATCGATCTCTTCATCGAGGTCAGGGTAGAATGCCACTTTACCTACCGAAAGGACAAGACATATTAAACATAAAATACTATATACAAATTATTTTACATTAATCAATGTATTCTATGTCTGGATCTTCCAGTGGGTCGTCACGATTAACAATGAGCGTAATAATATACCGCCATTACAGGAGAGACTTATTGTTTCCTACAATTAGGTGTTAAAAAATATATGCGAGTATAACTTTGTTCTGGCTAAAATTAGATAAGAAAAATCTGCATAGTATAACGGATATCAGCAAAAATGGTGGAACGTTATTTCAGTATATTCTTCTTTTCATTAAACATTCATTATTTTTGAATTAATCATTGGTCTGCAAAATCTAAGGAAACATTGATATTGAATACATTTAACTATCACATTAGACAAAGAACAGAAGCACAAGCTCACAGCTGACAAGAGAACAGGAAGTATGTGTATTCTCTACATTTAGTCGCAATCTCAGTCTTCTTAATCAGCTCTTATATTCCTACATTTTTAATCCTGGAAAACATTATTCTTTCACAACTTATCAATGTTCATGACGAGTAATATGTAACTATTGTGGTAAGAAAGGCAAAGACAGAGAGCTCATGCATATGGTTTAGGCGTGTATGCATGTGTTTCTCAGCGTCTTGCCTCTGAAGCGGTGAACAGGGAGTGTGCTCATGTGGGTTGTTTGTTTGTGGATGAGTAAAAAAGGAGACAATACTAAACTGTTGTTAACAGCCCCTCAGGCCAGACAGTGAGCCACATTCCTGCAGCCCTGCCGAGGCATCCGGGGCGACCAGGGCCGAGAGTGTGTGTGTGGCCGGGGGAGGAAGAACCGCAGGGGGCCCAGCAATCAGCCAAACATTGGCCTCACTGGGCTTTAGTTGCTACATTCACAAAAGATCCCATAGCTCCCTGCTAATGGTGGTAATCAAAGTGCTATTTCCCTCTATAAAGTTACCCTGCAATATATCACATATCGAATCAAGGCCCGTGTCGTGGCTGATCTTAAACACATGTTGCCATGTGGAATAAAGGTATTTTAATATTGCACCAATTCCACAGTGTGCCATGGATTTCTTTTCTTTTTTTAAAGGACACTTGAATTACGTTTTTGTGACATTATTTCCCCTCTGTGATGAGCCCTTCATACTTTAATTATAGAGAAATTAAATTAAAGGTATTTGCACTCAAACCTGGAGAGAAGGGAAGTTATGTAAAAATAAGTTGTGGATAAAATAAGTTCAAACAAGGTTCTGCAGTTTGAGGACATTTGACTTTTAAGTGAATGTAACACTTGAAGGCCAAACACAATTCAAACAAATGTTTTTGGCAATCAGTTTCAGAGTTCATCAATTATTTAAATATCAATTCAATGTCAGAAACCAACATTCTTTCTACATCCATTTTTTTTAAGACTTAAAAAGAGTGTTTAAAACCATTTTATTCAAATTAAAATCTAATTTTGATAGTAATGAATTCAAGGCCTTTGAACACTTTTGAAGGATTCGTGGGATACCGATGCAGAAAAATAAATGATCAGCGTTGTCACACATTGTTTTAAACCACCTACATTACATTAATGATTACAGTTTCACTTTTGCTTCAGAAGGCCGGCCATCTGGCTGAGCTAATGTGTATGATATGACATGCCAGCACTTTCACTGCCTGCTTTGTTATCAGCTTACCCCCCTCCACTAATGGTCATTTAGTGCACTCCATAGCAGGTGTCTGTGGAGGCGGGATGCACCATCTGTACTTTGCAGGTGGTTGGGAGCTCCAACCGTGCCAGTGGGCTCACCAGTGGCATGTGGCAATACAGCTTATTTTAGGGATTTAAAAAAGAGAAGGTAAGATATGTACAGGTCGGTTTAAAAAAAATTGTGAATTGATTTTAAATCAGCAAGGAAATGTTGAAAAAAGAATTATCATTATTTATTCATGTAGAAAACCCCAGGACCCTAGCTAAGCAGTAGCTGATAAATCACCTTAAAAGGTGGTGATTGTGTGTATGTGTGTGGTTTGTCACACACTGACAAAGCACGCACACCTCTCCTTGTGTAAGCGAGATTTGTCACCGGGTTGATAATGACCAATAACCTCTGGAGAGGCACCCAGGGGGCTGCTGGGTACAACAAACAAACACTAAACAGCTCAACAGGAATCGAGGTTCACACACATCTGTGCCGTTACTTTTCCCACTTTAAAAAATAGTCACATTTCTTCCTCCCCTAAACACAAGCTTGCACACACACAAACACACAAGCCCACATACACATTCTCTCCATGAGTTTCACAATACCTTTTCAATTTGTTTCAAACTTTTGGGAAATTTCTAAAAAAATAGTAATGTCACCATACAATATATCCTACTTAAAAACACCATGAAGTGACAGATGCAATTTAAACCAGTCAGAACGATTATCTTTTTTCTTTTATATGATTAATTTTTTGTCAATCAAATAATGACTTCAATGCTACAGAACATACTTATTTAACTCTTTGATGCAGCTGTAGATGTTAGAAGTGAAAGGACATGGTGTAAGTGATCACAGTGCCTCTGCCTCACAGTGACCGTGCTGAGAGATTATTGATTTGTACTCAGTGGGTCCTGCTGCCCTCTAGTGGGAAATGTAATACATGTACTATGTTGATGAAGAGACAAAAAGAGACTTGGCTGTTTTTTCTCCTCATCTCTAAAAGCAGATAGTCTTGATAGTTGAAAAATATCTATATACATTTTTGAGTGTTTCATATTTGTATAGGAATTTAGCTTTATTTTATATCTTCATTTTTGTACTTATTTAAAAATGTCATTTTCTCTTACTGTTTTAAATGTACCTATACACCGAATCTAATTCTTTGCACATGTATTTATGCGTTTTGATTTAAGTGTTTTTGTCCACAGTGTTTGGATAAAAAGTCTAAAAAACAGTTAAAGGGAAACAAAAAGGTCACAGATTAAACAGAATCTCTTATCTTCTTTATTAGTTGATCTGTTTTTGGAATGAGGAAGAAGTGCATAGTTAAAATGTGATGTAGCCCACCAGATCTAATGTTGTTAAGGTTACAGCAGAGAGTCCCCCTCCCACCTGCCATAAAAAGTGAGTCACAGCTGACTGCAGAGCTTTGAGTAAATACAGTAAATGTGTTAACATTTTCTAACCTTCAGTAAACAGTTCCACTGGTATTTCATCCATTGTTCCAAAGAGGAACAGTGGTAAAATGGTGGGATCGACATTAACAAGCGTGAATCTGTATATCATCTGTAACCTTTAGACACAACAGTTGTAATATGAAATGCTGGTACCCTTCATTTAAACATGCAGCATGTCTTGCAGGCAATTCCTTTACTGAAAGTGTGCAAAGCAATGTTTATTTAATATTTAGTAAGCTAAAACTGAAGTTTGGCCCTCCATTAGATTAGTGTTCTAACATCATGTTGACAAAGTAAATGGTGCAGGATACCTTCTCATGTTTCCACTCGTTAAACAACTAAAACATCTTTTTTTTTTATCTTGGTTCTCACCGTTCATTGACCCCTCGATCACTCAAAATAAAAATATATATACAACACGAATACAAAAAACGAGAAAAAAAAGTCCAATTAAATTCACCGCATGGAGTCAGCCATGCCTTTAGCTCATACACTATTTAACTGCGTGTTAGGAATACATACCATTTACAGACTATTCGTGCGGCTTCCAAAGAAAGAACATGCCTTGGAGGTATAGGCTCCTGTGTGTTTACCAATGGCAGCACACGCCTCCATGTCAAACACAAGCAGGTCCTTCTTCCAATACAAAGTGCTGCACACCTCACCAGGGAGCCCTTCCATCCTCTATGAGCCGAGTATGTGAAATATTCGACATTTCTGAGTCCAGACAGAGACGATCAACACCGGAACAACCTTGTCCAACAGGTGCAAGGCCGAGGAATAATAAAAGTTCATGACAGAAGTGCTGATATAACAATTTTAAATTCAAGATATGTGAATAGGGGCTTGTCATTTAGAGAAGAGGCATTTATAGTGAAAAATGCTGCTTTACTGCACAAAAATAAACCCTGTCATCACTGACTATTCACTAAAGTAATGCTGTCGTATCTCTAAATATATAAATAGAATTTAAAAAGCCAGTATTTATTTTTATTCCTTTGAAGGTAACTGCAGTTAATAAGCAACACTTGTTTTTTCATATTTTTGTATATGAGCAAGTCTTTAATGTATGATAATTAAAACCATATAAAATGTAAAATGGATAAAACATCTTACAATCTTAAAATAATACTTAATTGTACCACTTAACTTTTTTGGATGGTGGTTGATGCAGATCTACTAAGCACTTGCCTATTTTAAGTACTGGCTGCTAAAATATGCTAATTGTGTTCCCTGTTAGAAGGTTAAGCAGCCTTGCAGCAGTAGCTATAGTAACATAACACACTCCTCTCTACAGCCAGAGAATAGAGAGTTCTGGGTGAATGAAGATGACTGCAGTATCCTGGTTCAGCCTCTCTTCAGTCTACTTTATTCTTAAGGACATACCCATAGTTGCAATCTGCTGCCGACATTGAATTATGTCTTTCTTTCTGGCACACATTACATTTTAGCATCTGATTTGGTCTAAAAAATGTATTTCTCTGTGATATTATTGTGATGATTCCGCAGAAAAAAATACACCTAACCTCTCTGCAGAGCCAGTGATTCTGCTTGGTCATTTCATTGGAAGAACAATTTGATTCATTATCTGACGCAAACGGTGCTTGCTGACAAATCACAGGTTTAGTTACGAGTGCATAACTGTGTGAGTGAGCAAAAGAAAAGGAAACAAAGGACAATTATGTGACTTGTACCAGGGGGAGCGGGGGAAATCGTGCGTCAGTTGTTTGCTCCTGAAAACACAGCCATTATATTTCCTCTGACGTCATAAAATACTTTGTTTTGTGGAATGATGCCAGCTAGTGCAAGTGTGTGTGTGTGTGTGTGTGTGTGTGTGTGTGTGTGTGTGTGTGTGTGTGTGTGTGTGTGTGTGTGTGTGTGTGTGTGTGTGGTGGGCTTGTGTGTGTGTAGTGGGCTTGTGTGTGGGTAGTGGGCTTGTGTGTGGGAAGTGGGCTTGTGTGTCTGCAGGATTAATAATTTAGATGGGTCTGCGGCAGGAGAGGATACAAACTTGGCTCAAATGATTGGCGGCAGAATCTAGCAAACACGAGAAGGGGATGAGTGTGTATCGGATAGAAAAGTCTATCATGAAGAAGAGAGGATGCTTCTTTTTACTGGAGCCCACTCATATGATGATGAAATCAGCTGTTAGTATTCGGACTTTAAATCGTATGTTTGATGCTGTTGTTTGTGTGGTGATGTGAATTCAGCACATCATAGGACGCCTCATATAAGCCACCCCGCAGTTACATAAACCCCTGACGCACCACAGAACCCAGTGACCCTGTGTCTTTTTCACACACACACACACACACACACACACACACACACACACACACACACACACACACACACACACACACACACACACACACACACACACACACACACACACACACACACACACACACACACACACACACACACACACACACACACACACACACACACACACACACTCTGATTTCTGCAGCGTGGTCTGTGTTTTGCAAGCAGTGCGATGCCATGGAAATCGGAAAAACAAGATTGACTTTCATTGAATTACATTAGATTCAGTGATGAGAGAGAGAGAGAGAGAGAGAGAGAGAGAGAGAGAGAGAGAGAGGCATGTCGTCTAAGTGATTAAAGCCGTCAGTGGTGCGGGGGCTGTGTGTGTGTCGCAGACGCGGCAGGGGCGGATTAATAACAGAGGATCAGACTGCACCAAATCTACCACAATGTAGTGAGAAGAGAACAGGAGAAAAAAAGAGAGTGCATTGGAAGAGATACACAAGATACTGAGAGGGAGGAAGAATAAAAGACATCAAACTAAGATTGAAGGGAGGAGAAGCAAAGCAGAGAATCAATAGTAACAGAGAAAGAGGTGGAGAGGGAGGGAGATGTGGGCAACAGGATACAGAGATCAACTGGAAATAAAACAGACAGAACACAGAATGAAAGTGGAGTGAAACAGAGAAATACTGGCTTTCTTGTTGAATCTGTAATTTAAAGAGGACATACAGGACTGTCTCAGAAAATTAGAATATTGTGATAAAGTTCTTTATTTTCTGTAATGCAATTAAAAAAACAAAAATGTCATACATTCTGGATTCATTACAAATCAACTGAAATATTGCAAGCCTTTTATTATTTTAATATTGCTGATTATGGCATACAGCTTAAGAAAACTCAAATATCCTATCTCTAAATATTAGAATATCATGAAAAAGTNGTCACAATCTGCCGCCTATTCTGGATTTGTTTATTGTGCATTCTGTAGACGACCTTTTAAGCCAATTTCTGATATCCATTTTGTAATTCAAGCAGAAAATGTCTACAGAATGCACAATAAACAAATCCAGAATAGGCGGCAGATTGTGACGCTGTGATTGGTCTAAATGTGGACGAATCACAAATCACAACAGACACATGAATTTATTTGACATAGCCTGCGATTTTTTTTTTAAGTTACTATCTGACATCACATACATCGTAGCATAAAAGTTCACCGTTTATTTATCATTTACATTTTTTTTCTTTTTTATAAATAATAAAAAACGTGTTTATTAGGAGAGGGCAGGAATGTCAAATGGGCGCCGGGCATGTCTTTCCTGCAGTGTGTTGGATAGGTTTTTGTGAATGTTAATGGTCTGCAAAGGCTAATATCTCACATTGTACGTGATAGGCTAAGGGGCGGGACATCTCTAAGCGGTTGACAAATCACAACAGAGCCGGCACCTAACCAATCAGAGCAGACTGGGCTCTGGTTTCAGACAGAGGGTGAAAAGAGGTGCTGCAGCACAGGCAGTATGAGAACAATAAAGAGCGTTTTGAACATTAAAGCATGGAGACATGTTTAGACATGCCAAAGACCCGAAGGAAAATCAAAAAATGTAAATAGAAAACTTGATTTTTTTGGAAAAATCTTAATTTCCTCTTAGTTGAGGGACAAAGAGGACAGATGTGAACAGTACCTGGAGGTGATAAAGTCATCTCGTCAAAGGTCCAGTCTTTATTATTGTATGTTGGGTGGCCTTTGGTTTCTGCTTTGGCGGATTGCCCAGCACGAGGAGGTTGGCAGGTCTTCAAAGAGGCTTTTGTCAAATCTTTTATCAGCGATAACTGCTTGCCACAGGCAGTACGAGTTACCTGTGAGTTAAGAAGAAACAACATCCTTACTTTTTTTTTAAATTGTAGATCTTGCAGTTAATCATTTGATTACAGTAAGCAAATGCTGAATGCATTTACCTTTGTCTTAACCTTTTGGCAAGAGTCTTTACTTTTCTGCTTCTTTGTTTTTGGCACTGAAAGACATGCACATCAATAATTCACAGTCGGTAGTGTCAGGCATAACAATACTCTATCAAAAACGGATTCAAAACGTTTCACTTGCTTAGGTGTAGATGTACATTGGCATTGCCTCAGCATATACCACTTATAGTCCAGTTAGAAAAAACCTATATAATATTTGACCACAATACTCTCAGATGTCATTGGGACTGACATGTGCACCTCTTTAGTGTAGAAAGATTATTTAAGTGTGTGTATAAATTAAACAAAAAGGGCAAAAAAGGAAGTATCATATTTGGTGTGGAACCATAATAAGGGTTGGAAAGGCACCCAGTTGAATTATTCCCATGGCTCTTATTTCATCAGTGGAGAGAGGAGATCAATTCTAACAGATGAGGGGGGGGGGCAGCTTACCTGTATCGAGGACACTGGCATCGCTGCTAGAGCTGGAATCACTACTGCTGCTGCTGCCTGAGCTGCTGCTGCTGCTGCTGCTCGCACTGAGGCGTGGGAGCCAGCCGGGGTCAGGGGCCGCCATGACTTTAGCTGTTAACGAAAAATAAGGTAAAGGTTTAATTTGCACTCTCCGTGCCTTGCATGTGGATGCACAATTAGACCCCCTTTACAACTTGAATTTAAATTAATCTCATCTTCAGATTTCATGATTGTACCTGTTTATAATAACACCTTGTATTAATATGCGTAACCAGTAAGTACATTTTGAATCCTATAGCTGCCTCAAGCTCCAACAACTTCCCTTCACATCCTCCACTCTTCTGCCTGATGGACACGTTGCTGTCCTGTTGATGCAGAGTTCACCAGCAGTCTGGTGCTAAATGTACTGTGAGTGTTTGTCTCTAACCACGAGCATCTTGATTATTAATTGCTTTCTTACTAGTAGCTTAGCTTGAGAACTGGCTGCCTCCTTGATTTTTTGGAATAGTTGCATGTGATTAAGCATTTCGGCCCACCTAGTTGTTGTATGTATAATAAAATCACTGTTATTGGATCGTAATCTGCCATTGACATCAGGACAGCAGAAAGCTTACACATCTTCCGGCGCAGGCTGAAAACTCATCTCTTTCGATTCCACTTCGAGCGATAGAATTACTAACAAAGAACTTATATACTAACAAAGGACTGGCTTATCTAAAGCTAGTTGAGTAGCACTTGAAATGTTTTGGCTCTATGAAACCTCATGATTCTGTTTTCTTCAAGTTTGTATCTTCTTGGTCAAATGCACTTATTGTAAGTCGCTTTCGATAAAAGCGTCAGCTAAATGCAATGTATTGTCATACCTGGTATGTAAATGCAAGGGAAAAGGAGTGGGTTTTTAAACGAGATTTACAAACAGGCAGAGTTGGAGCAAGTCTAACCTGGAGGGGCAATTCGTTCCATAACTTTGGAGCTGCAACAGCAAAGGCTCTGTCTCCTCGCTGCTCTAACCTTGATTTAGGGACGGCCAGAAGGAGTCTGTCAGCAGACCTCAGTGACCGTGTGGGTCTGTATGGTTTTAAAAGATCTGCCAGGTACGGTGGGGCTAAACCGTTTAGGGCTTTGTATGCAAACAATAACATTTTAAATTGTATTCTAAAACTGACTGGTAGCCAGTGTAACGAGGCGAGTACAGGCGTAATATGTTCACGCCTGCCTGTCCTTGTAAGGAGGCGTGCAGCAGCATTCTGGACCAGCTGTAGGCGGGACAGGGAACACCTCCCTAGGGAGGCGCCCAGGTGGCATCCTAACTAGGTGCACAGGCTGCAGTGGAGACGCTGCGCACAGCTGATCGACAGCTGATCAACAGCTGGGACACAAACCACCAAATACAAAAACATAATTCAGATCCAGTCGTCATGACTCCACTCCGGAGGGATTGCCCGATCATTTCTTACAGTTTCTTATCAACGGGGGGTCTCCCGTCCCCGGTACAAACACACTGCCTGAGGAAGGCTATGTGTATTTCTTTTGTCATTAACCTTTTTCGGACCACTTATTTATTTATGTTGGTGACGATCCGACCTCCATGCTGCTACTCTGCTGGTTCAAACTGCATCCACCAAACAATATGATTTATCTCGACCTCCCCAAAATAACCAAAATCTGACACGGGCCCTTTCTCATTTCTCTAACTCCCCTCCTCGACTCCTATCCTCGAGACTTAGTCCCGCCCACAGGAGATGCGAGCGGAGGAGCCGAGGAGGGGAACCGAGTAGAGAGGAGGGGAAGCAGCAGGCGGTTAAAG